AATATATTTTGTGTATAGTTTCAGAACTCAACACCTAACTTTCCTTTTTAAGACTTTGTAAGTAATTCTTAAGTATTTTTACTGCCACCTGCTCTCCTTTATTTTAAATCACTATTAGATATTGCTGTCTTGTCTAAATAGGCATGCTGGTTTGCTTGGACTGGAGGTAGTGAGACAAGTATTTCTACCAAATCCAAATCGACCTCGACTCTACAGGATCTCCTAGCTTTGATCTTTAAATAAGGATGATACACAGCATCTCCCTTTTCTTCACGATGTCCAACAGTTTAGAAACAAATGGAGGGGGTCTGTGAAGGTGGATGGGTGAATGTATGTGTGAAAAAATGCTTGTTCATGGTTTCTTAGTTTGTACAATCCTAATTTCAAGATTGCCAGAGTATTTATGCCCTCATAAACTAGAAGAAGCTTATAAAGAAAACTGAGGAAAGACCTGCAACTTCTGTGTTTGGGTCTGTGGCTCAAGGATTGGACTCTTCTTAAGTCACCTCAAGACCCATCAATGACATCAAATTGCTGATGACAGATGCCAGTAAATCACTCGGATGAATCAGCAATGAATCCCATTTCCTTTGTTTTTATTAATTTCTACCCTACATCACTGTAGACCATTTAAAGGGACACCTTGAGAGGCTGGACACCTTTAAATCAGCTGGCCTGGACAGTTTACACCCCAGGGTACTTAAAGAGCTGACAAGCATCATAGCTCAGCCACTGGCATGGATCTTTTGAGAACTCATGGTGCTCAGGTGAAGTGGCCGAAGATTGGAAGAAAGTTAATGTGGTACCTGTTTTCAAGAAGGGGAGGAAAGTAGACCCAGGGAACTACAGGCCTATCAGCCTGACCTCTACCTTGGGGAAGATCTTGGAAAAAAATCATCAAAGAGACCAGTCTTGACAAACTGGCTGATGGCAACATCCTGAGGGATAGCCAGCATGGGTTTGTTGCGGGTAGGTCTTGACTGACCAATCTCATCTCCTTCTACAACCAGGTGACATATCCCCTTGACAAGGGAGAAGAGACTGACGCCGTATGTCTTGTCTTTAAAAAAGCCTTTGATCTGGTGTCCCATGATCTCATAGAAAAATTGGCCAGCTGCAACCTTGGCTACATCACAGTCTGATGGCTGGGGAATTGGCTCTGAGGCCGGAACCAGAGAGTGGTAATCAACGGAAGTAAATCATCGTGGTGCACTGTGACTAGTGGGGTCCCCCCAAGGCTCTGTCCCTGGGCCTATACTCTTTAACATCTTTATTAACGATTTAGACATTGGTGTCAGAAGCGGACAGGACAAGTTCGCCAATGACGCCAAACTTTGGGGTAAAGCATCCACACCTGAGGATAGGCTAGTGATCCAGGCTAACCTCAACAGGCTCAGAAAATGGGGAGAAAAAAACCTGATGACATTCAACACTGAGAAATGCAAGGTACTCCACCTTGGAGGGAGGGGGGGGAATCCGCAGCACGCTTATAGGCTCAGCAGTACTATGCTTGCTAGTACCATGGCTGAAAGGGACTTGGGGGGTCATGATTGACCACAAGATGAATATGAGCCACCAGTGCAATGTTGCAGCTGGTAGAGTGAGCGAAACTCTGGCTTGCATCCATAGATGCTTCTCAAGCAAATCACAGAATGTCATCCTCCTGCTGTACTCAACCTTGGTGAGGCTGCAGCTGGAGTACTGCATCCAATTCTCAGCTCCACAATTTAAAAATGATGTGGAAAAGTTTGAGAGAGTCTAGAGGAGAGTCATGCACATGATCGGAGGGCAGGAGAACAGGCCCTATGATAAGACTGAGAGCCATGGGACTCTTCAGCCTGGAAAAGCACAGGCTCAGGAGGGACCTGGTGGCTGCCTATAAGTATATAAATAGTGTAGACATCAGGATCTGGGGGAACATCTGTTCACCAGAGCGGTCCAAGGGATAACAAAGTCAAATGGTCCCAAACTCCTCCAAGACCATTTCAGGCTGGACATGAGGAAAAACTTCTTTAGTGTCTGAGCCCCCAAGGCCTAGAATAGACTCCCTCCAGAGGTGGTAAAAGCACCTACTCTGGACTCTTCTTAGAAACGTTTGGACATCTACCTTGCTGGGATCCTTTGACCCTAGCTGACTTCCTGCCCCTGGAAGGGGCATACACAAGCTGTTGCAATGATGAAGAGCCCAGGAAAGTGGCAGTATCCTTCACTCACATTCTCTCACTCCCCAACTGGGATCCAGCTGGGCTTCTTCAAGGCAATTTCAGAATTCACCCAGAGACATTTTACAGTGGGAATGTGTGGGGACTCTGCCTACCACATAACAGACAGCTATGTGCAGTACTTGAGCCCCTGTTGCCACCACCTAGGTAGTCTAATATGACTTCTGCCTGGTATCATTAGATGGAGATTCTGAGGATCTTGTTTATACATTTAATTTTAGATGACTCCTTGAGCTTTTAGCACCTGGATTGTCCATATATCAATACCTTGAACCACTTCTAAGCACACATTAGTCAGCTTGAAGTTATACAATTCCAGGGCAGGTTTTTCTCTTATCCATGTTACTTAGCTCATGTTCTGTAAATGTGTGGTCACTCCCTACAGAAGAGCTGGCCAGAAATTGCAGTTCTCTAGCATCCCACAATGCAGTGTTTTCCCATCCCCCCCCCCTCCCCTCCTGTTCTGTGTAGACAAATTTTTCAGTCTTTGAACTCTACTGCCCAAGAGGCAGTACTAGCACTAAGCCAACTCCCCCTCCAGCCCCCAGGGGTGTAATTTTTCCACCCTAGGGGAGCAACCCCTGTAAGCAGCCTGAAGAGCACATGTCAGCTAGCCAGCTCACAGAGCATGGATGGGTCTTAGGGTGGGACCTAGAGAGGAACGGAGTGTGGGGAAACAAGGTAGAGGCCCAGATCGGGTCCCCATGAGCTGGAGCTTCCTTCTGAGGGCAGGGGCAGTAGCCCCCCTAAAATTGCCTTTTATCACTGCTTCCACCTCTCATCTACCCCAGGAAGCATGACCAACACCTCCTGCACTCCAATTCCAACTCGCAGTTTATTAAATCATGAGACCTCCTTTAATTTACTTCCTCTTTATTTCTTTTAAAATTATTTTAACTACTTTTTTATTTTAAACTTTAGTAGCTGACTTCCTTCATTGCACCACCCTTTCCTCACCCCCCATTTCCTTTCCACTTCCAATTTCATTACCCACCCCATCCCATTAACTCTCTGCCTCCCAGCTTCATGCCCCCCACCCCATCTCTCACCTAGAGCAGGGATAGAAGTCTGTCCTGGCTCACCAACCCTATTGTGGCAATTCACAGCTGTAGCTCCCAGTCAGGCCGCTGCCCACCAGCACTCTAGTGGCAAGTCAGCTGTGTAGGTGGGGGACAGTTAGAGAAGATTTTCAGCTTTAAGGTGTGACTGCTTCAAATGCAAGCTAAAACTAACACCAATCAACATTTGAGCAGCTCAAAGTGCAACACGTAACAAGGCCTTTATGTTATAAGACCATGATTAATTTAATGAGAGGTCATATTGGGGAAGTCATATTATATTTCCCTGTAATCATTTTGAACTAAGAAATGCTAATATAGTTTTACAACCTTTCAAAAAGTGATGTGAGGTGGTACAGTTAGGCATTATTTCAAAGGTCTGGCTAAATGACTGTAATTTTTTGAGGCGAATGTTGGAATTGCTGCTTTGAGAATTGGATTACAAAGTATGTCAACTATGATGTTGTTCAATAGTTTTAGCATATTACCTAATCAATGTGCCATCAAGGTTCCAAACACTTCTGTAAAAGTAATTAATTCAATCATCATCTTTACATATGGTATGCAATAACCACATAGAGTCATAGACTAACACTATACTGTACCATAAAATCTGGTGAGCTAGTCTTCAACTGAACTCAACCTTGTAAATGTTGTTATTTCATCAAAAACTTCCCATTTGAGGCTGTCAATAATGATGATAGGATCTCAATACTTTACCTCAATTAAAAACCAACTTCACATTAAATTATGGAGGCTTACTGCAAGATTGAGGGAGAGGTAGAGGGTTGAATCCTTATCAAAACTGTATTTGGAGGAAATTTATTGAACTCCTATTAAAGAGTGTGTAGTCTTAGCTTGCATATTTGGAATATCCTGAACAGCTTCTGACACTTGTGAATCATACAAGGGTTTGTACCTGAAGTTGGTTATAAAATGTGGTGTATTTTTGTGAAGCTTATCTAAAAAAATAATGTTCTCCTTTGTTTGAAATCTTAATTTCAGAACTTTACAATTGGTTGTCCTCCTATCCTACCTTGCTAAAGAATAAATATCTGTAAACATGAGATGGCTCAATATTGGTATTGACAGGGATAGTATGTTGATTCCATATGAAAAATAGTGTTTCTTTGCAAATATTTTCAAAGTTCATAGATTTTCTGGCATGTTCATATTTTGACCACGGTGATTAGAATTTCTTAAAGAAAAAATAATCTTTCCTTCAGACTAGGCTTTTATTCCACCGTAAGGTTCCCTTTGACTTTCCTGATAGACTTCCTTGTCCTTTATGCTGCAGTATCCCTTCAATCAACTGGTTTCTTTTTTTCTACTCACTACCAAAACGAAATAGCATTCTCATTCAGTTCAATTGAAAGTGCAGCAAGAGAGTAGAAGTATGGCATAAAAGCACTATTTGTGTAAGCCCCTGTATTCCCAGAAAAGTATCATGAAGAGAAATTACTAGGTCATACAGCATTTGATGTACTGGGCCGACTCTAGTGAAATAGTCTGAAAAATGAGACTGCAGGAAGAAATATGTTTATCTGGACATACTCCAGGTTTATGTAAGGATATAGAAAAACTGCTGCCTGAGAAAAATGATAGCATTGATGTTGCAGTAATATAAAATGTATCAAATATTTTCTGCATATTTAGCATTGTACTCAGGTTGTCCTTTTTTTGTCTTTTTTTTAATCTTTTCATTAAGGAAATGCACATAACAGCATAAAAACATCTTGCCTTTTTATTTTCGCCTTAAATACTGGTCCTGTAACTAACAAGGAGGTTCTTGGTGAATCACAACAGTGGAAATATCATTGTGATGAATCAACCAGTTTTCCAGGTATGTACCTGGAATGATTTCCAGCCATTCAGAATTCATAATAAAAAGCTGCTGGATCAGTGCTCTGTCCCCAGTCATAGTGAAAGTTAAAACAACAGTGATCTGAGTTAAGTGTACTTTCCAGGTAATGTAACTTAGCTCAGACTTAGTGAGACCAATTTAACTGGATTTCTGTACTGTTCCCAGCACAGGCCCAGGGCTGGGAAAGCCCAGCTACTGGCCCCAACCCTAGGGCTGTTTTTTTCTGCCCCCTCCCTGGCACCCCTCTCTCCCCTACCCTCAGCCCTGCCCCCACCAC